AGCCTCGGGGGCTGCTCCGCGGCGGGGCCCTGGGGGAAGCTGCCTGCGGGTGCCCCCTCCTCCTCCCCGGGGAAATTCTGCAATTCCTGAGATGTTCTGGGAGACTTGGCGCACTTTGGCTTCTATTTCTTTGTTTGTTTAGGTTTTTTATATATGTACACACAAAAACCCCTATAATCCAGCATGTGAACATACTGGCTCTTTTAAAACCTATATCCTAGCATACTGTATCGATGCTAGTGCATTTGCATCTTATCAGTATGATTTTGTTTGTTTGTTCTTGTTTTTTTCTTCGTCTTCCTTTTGGGGGGGGAGTGTTCAGCTGTTTTTTTTTTCTCTCCTTTTGCTTGCTTTTTTTTTTTTGCCATCCTTTAATATACAATGAGAGGCAAATCCCTGATTTGCTCTTGTTTGTTCTATTTATACCACAGGAGGGATGTACATTTCAAAATACAGTTATAAAGGGGAGTTACTAACACTTAATTCAGAAGAATATTTGTTTACAGGTAAATAAATTTGACATACTGCATGACTAGTAATTACTTTTGTGAAGTAGTTAATTTCCTGATGACAGCCACAACATTTGTCTGAGTTAATAGATTTAAAGACACTATAGAGCTGGCTTTCTTTTTTTTTCTTTTTTTTTTTTTTTAAATAGGAAGGTTTTCACTATGTTTATAGGGCTGTTTTTTGGTGTGCAGCCATGGTAAATCAAATGTAAAAGTTGTTCCAATGTCTGCCTGTAACCTGTAGCTCCAACTTTCACTTTCTGGCTTATAAAATGTCTTTATTACGGTAAGTATTAAATAGGATTGTGACTGACTTCTTTTGCTTGGGGGACAGAGCAAAACTTTTGTCACACCTACTTTAAGATGCATTTAGTCAAATTCCCTTTTAAATTAGTACAAAAATTCTGTGCAGCACAGTTCTTTATATGAGCATAAACTGTAAAAGGGCTTGTTCTTGTTGGGGAACATAAAGAGGATTTTGTCTGACCCGAGTCTGTGACAGGGTATGAAGAAGTTGCCTCTTTTCTGCCATTGCTCAGTTTTGAAATACGCAGCTTGGTTTGTCCTATCCAGGGCCAGCAGTGGCTGCAGCTTGGACAGCTGGATGTCGTAATCCTGGCCCCTCACCTGAGCCAAATTAACCTCCTGTCCAGTGATCAGTGAAGACCTGTGAGCGCCAGGCATTTCAGACTGCCCTTTTGTTACACCCTTAGCTTGAAGTAAGGTGGATAGATGTGGTTTTAGAGATTTTTTTTTTTTTCTTACGGTTAGGGCAGCTTTTCCAAACCGTGTGATAAGCCATACATGCTGTCATGAAATACCTGTTTAGAAGTGGAGTTATTCTTAATGGAACGTGACCTGGGCCTGTAGGAAGTACTAGTGACCCCAGCTAACTCGAGGCCCTCTGTACCTGTTTGTAAGGCAAGCGAAGATGCTGGAGCAAGCAGATCCTCGCATGCTTTTGTGAGATTTCTTCTCTGGATTTGGCAGAGATTTCTCTGTCCAGGTTTTTGGTTTGTGGTGCAAAGCTGCTGGAGGCTAGGAGGGCCTTGAAAGTGTTGGGATCCCGAAGGTGGGGTTTGAAAGCTGCAGGAGATGTGCCTCGCTGGTCAAAGTCTGGTGGGGACATCTCTCTCTACGCTCTACTTAAAGCATTGGCTGGAGCCCAACTTTGTTGTGGCTGTGCTGTTTATGTGCAGTTGTCTGTGAGCTTAAAATGAGATCTGGGATGTGCTGCAGGAAGAGAGCTTATGTTGTTCGTGATGTCCCTTGTCATGGACCTACACGTACACTCTTCTGCTCTCCTCTTTATCGTGCCTGCTCCTGTGACGATGTCGTGTGGCCAGGGTAGGCAGACAAGGATCCTTCTTGGAGGGGCCCTGGTGTTATAAGGACGAGTAGGATACTAGGGTGCAGGGTGCCGTGGGGACATCACCACAGAGCAGTGGTGTAACGTGGTGGCACCAGTGATGGACATGGTGATGGGGTGAAGCGTTAGTCCAGGAATGTGCTTTGTGTTAACCTGCTTTCCGATCTGGGCTCCCTGGTGCAGTCTAGACACAGCCAAACGTGTCGGGTGAGGCAGGCTGGGAGATCTTGTCCTCTTTACATCTCTTGCTCCCTCTCCCTCATGACAGTGAGGTGATAATCACAGATATTTCTGCATCCCCGTAAAGCTAAAGTTTCAGCTTCAGTGTTATGGAAGATTTCATTTTTCTTCCTGCTCCATTTTGGAGTGTG